GTCTCACCTTCCACCCAACTCGCTGCTAGCAGAAATTCAGAAATTCCGTTCCTAGGGCTGCGGTGGTGACCTGGCTTCCTCTCAGCCGTCCCACTAGAACGGCTCCTGGAACGGGAGTCTCGGGCCTAAAGAACCCTTCACATGCTCCCCAGCTGCTCTGCGTCATTAGCCGAACCGCCCGGTACACGGGCACCGGCTGTGGACTCCGGCTGCCCACCCGGTCACGTGAACGTGCCACCCGTGACACAGCAGGCCCGCAAGCGAGAAACAGAGACATTATAAAGATGGTGAGAGAAAAGCGTAAAGAAATCACCACACGTCCCTCATGCACAAAAATTCCCACAAGTTGGATCCCACCAAAGAGAATTTTGCAATTACTCAGCAGTCACAACTTTTCAGCCTACTGAGCTGTAAGCATTAGATAAGTATTCTCCCATACGTTTCCAGGCTATTACTCATGATGAAAATCATCAGTGAACATATGTTCCATTTCTAAACAGCTTAAAAATGTTTGGAGATGCCTTCCATCCGCACATCTTACAATTAACTAAGAGCTAATTTGGAATAATTATTACTGATTTCATTCATCAATAATCATTAAGAACGGATAACAATACTGTACTAAGTGCTGCAGAGAATAGAAATGAATAAAATCTGTGGATCTGATGGTATTAAAACTATCTGATTCAACCTCTTAAACATGTGAAACTGACTGTAAGGCCTGCCCTTGATTTGAAGACCCCTCCCTTGACTGGTCACAAAGCTCTGATGCGAGATCAACCAAAGGGGCTCAGGGAGGACCGTGAGTACTCCACCAGCACACGGTGTGGCCACACGGTTGGAAGCGCTTTGCGTGTTATAAAGCTCCTTCGGCCTCAACTTCTCTGAGCCCTCAAAGACGACAACACTTCAGCCTCATAAAATACTGTAAAACTACATTTAAATAATCACTTCATCCAACCTCTCGCGAAACGTGGTTAATATCCCTCCCCCCCAAACCACTGCCCGGCGTGAGACCGACCTGTCTGTGACAGTCAGAGGACACGCGACGGGCCTAAAGCGACAGCCAGCATCACCGACGCATCGTCCCCAAGCCTGAAACGACTGTCCGTGCTGCTCACAAGAGACCAAGACCCTCCAGGACGAGCTCTCGGGTGCCCTGTGCCCACTTGCACCCACGTTGCTTCGTACGACAAGCCTCTGCCGGGGACCCGAAGGACTCCTGCAGAACCGGAGCCGGCAGCAGGGAACCCCGGGGCCCCACCCCGCTGCCCCGTCCAGGCCAGCCGCCTCACACAGGGTGACAGACCCACAGCCTCTCGTGGCCAGCCGGCCAGGCTTCCTCCACCAGGCGACAGGAGAGGCGTGCTTGTTTCTGTGACCTCTCTAGGATGTTTTTGGAACTAATCAACACCAAACTCGCCGCTTCTGGCCTTTACGGCTTCAATTATATTTTCCACCATTTCTAGTTAGGGAAGGCTTTCCCGTGAGGGATTAATTCCCCGAGCTACGTAGGTTCTCCAAGATTTCTGTGTGTGTTTGGCACGCAACGCAGAAACATTATTTTCTTGAACGGAACGTTTTTATTAGAAGTGAAGCGACACAGCGTGTGCCCTGTACGTGAGACGTTGGGACTGTTCTCCCCGGCGTGGCAAGCCAGCAAAAGCGGACCGCGGCCTCCCGAAACACAACGTTCTGCTACTGCTACACGGGAAAGCATCACACGCACACCTACTGCGCGCACACCTTCTGCACACACACCTACTGCGCATACACCTGCACACCTACTGCGTGCCCACCTTCACACACATCTGCTATGCGCCTTTTGCACACACACCTGCACCTACGCCAAATACAATCAACGCATACACACTTCTCCTCACCCACTCCACAAAAAAAGTTATGCCACGTAAAATGTTGAACACTTCCCATCTCTTCTCCGGCTGGGTTGAGAAGGCCTCGTCTCGCAGAAAAAATTCTGAAAGCTACGGAAATTCACTTCTCAAGTATAAGGAGGAATACACACGCCAACAAAGCCAAGAGAGGTGCAGAGCTTGAAGAGCGTCCGCCTGCCGCTGGATGTCGGTAAAGTTACGTCACAAATACGCAGCGAGAGGAGCCCAGGCTACTGACGCGCTTCGCTTTCGTATAAAGGAAGTGTGTGTGTGCTGTGTTCGTCATCGCAGAGAACACAGAATTCTCCAGGTGTGCAAGGGAACTGAGGCCGGTCAGCTTATACACGTCTATAAACGCTTTCATGCGCATCTGAGGACGTCAACTACAACTATTAGAAAAACAAAACCCGGTATCCCGACACACAGTTGACACGGCGCTAACCCGTTCTGTGATGCGTGGTCTAAGCAACGTGACCAAAGGCCAAGCCTTTAAAGATTCCCCACGTGGCTGAAGATCTCCCACGTGTAGAGACATAACTGACCCAGGTCTGAATGTCTCAACACATAGGATATTGCCTAGCAACAGACTTTTGGGTCCAAAGGGAGTATTTCAATCTTCCTAAATCCGAACCTGCTGGATCCAAATCCTAAGCTGTACATGCAGCTTGCCTCAGGAAGCGACACCGCGCAGCTCCACAGCTCTGCCCCGCGCCCAAGCGCCCACCCAACGCACACATAACCAGAAACGGCCCCCGTGCGTCTGCCCCTTACTTTCCGCATACGTTTCCACAGCTCAAATCGTCTCGGCCCCAACAGAAGTTCGAAGAGCTGTCACTTCAGCAGGGCCAGAAAGGGCAGAGAGGGCACAGATGAGAACACAGCTCAAGAAAATCAACAATCGCACGAGAGCGCGTGGAGGTGGAGGGGATGGGAGTCGTGTCGCCCTGGTGGTGCTCACGGTGTTCTGGAGAACGGGGCCAGGATGGGGCTCCAGGAGCCACGAGAGCCACCCCTGGCCCCCGTCCCTGCACAGTGCAGGAGGGGCCAGGGTCTCCTACCCCGTGTGTGAGGCACACGTTAACACTCACCCAGCTCCTGAGTGCAATCTCGTCTCCTCACCAGACGTGCTGCGAGAGAGGTTCTGATACAGGAGAAAACACGCGTCCAGCTCCAGAAAGGGTGCCTGAGTCACTGCAGGCAGACAGCTCGCTCCTTATGGCGCTCTGGATGGCAAGGTACGGCCAGCTTTCTAAAGGTGAACTGCATACGATGGGGAACCTTGCTATGGTACATTCAAGGTCAGTGACCACTAACTTCTGGTTCTTGGTTGTGTGTTGGTCTTTAATAACAACTTAGCATTAACTACAAGCAAAGAGGCACCAGTGCCCTCTCAGGAATGGGTGCCTGTCCTTGGGTGCTGAAGAACCCAGTAAGCAGAGAGGAGCCACAGACGTGGTGCTCCAAGAAGAAACTGAGATCAGCGAGCAGCGGTGGGCAATTAGCCACAAACACCCTCCTTCTGGAGCATGATTTCTAGTCACATGAATACATGTTTAGGCCTTTGCTTTGTTTTCTTAAACTCCCAAAGAAACAAGATGAGTAGAATAAAAAAAATGTCTCAGAAACAAAGTTAAAAGCTATTATTTTTGAGGGTTGCTGGGTGGCTGTCGGTTAAGCATCAGACTTCAGGTCAGTCTCACAGCTCGTGGGTTTGAGCCCCGTGTTGGGCTCTATGCTGACAGCTCAGAGCCTGGATCCTGCTTCAGATTCTGTGTCTCCCCCTCTCTCTGCCCCCTCTCTGCTCACACTCTGTCTCTCTCAAAAAAAATTTTTTATGTTTATTTTTGACAGAGGGAGACAGAGCATGAGTGGGGGAGGGGCAGAGAGAAGGAGACACAGAGTCCAAAGCAGGCTCCAGGCTCTGAGCTGTCAGCACAGAGCCCGACGTGGGGCTCGAACTCAAGGACTATGAGATCATGACCCGAGCCGAAGTCGGACGCTCAACCGACTGAGCCACCCAGGCAACCCCCCCCAAAAATTTCTTTAATCTAAATTTTTTTTAACGCAGAAAAAAAAATTTAAGACTATCTCAACAGCTGAATAAGTGTTTCACAATGTATAATTACAAAAATGCACTCAACTTTTATCATCAGCCAAGGTGCCCCAACAAAGCACACCTTCACAAATCACACAAACTTTCTCAGTGTAAAAATTTATGCCACACGAGTGGGCTTCTGTCTGCCCGAGGTCATGACACTGGTGTTGACAGACTAACCCCCAACCCATCAGCCTAAACAGGCAGGGTCATTTCTGGGGGCGGCAGCGTGTTGCGTGATTCACCCCATAAACGTCTCCATAGAAACATTCAGGTGCTCATAACTCAGTGCTGCCCCCGCAGCCCACGCTTCCCACAGGCCTACTGTGCACGTGGGCGGGGTCCCTCCCTATTACAACATGGGCCCCGCCTTTAAGGGGCTCAGAGGCCAGCCACACTGGGCACAGAATGGATGCCGAGAGACGCCGTGATCCTCTTTGCAGGCAACCTCACAGCTTATCCTTCCCAGCCCACGATCACGGCACAGACGTTCCACACCGACCGCCAAGGAAAGCAGGGTCAATGGCCTCAGTCCTCAAATGCCGATGACTTCTCCTCTCAGAACCCTGCCAGCATGCCGTGGGGCCCGAGCCGCCAGCCAGGGGCCAGGCCAGCTCCGGCCCCAGGAGCACACCCTCAACAGGGCGCCCTCCTCAGACTCCAGGACCCCTGGGATGCTACCCGGTGCAGAACCCAGCGAAGCCAGAGTCATGAAGGTAACGACCAGCCGTGGTCGGCAGCCCCGATGTCTGAGGCCGTTTGTTGTAGAGCAAGAGGTGACTGAATCAAGAGTGACGGTTCAACTCCTCGCAAGGGGAAGTCCTCCTGCCTTTGCTTCTACTCTCAGGTTTTCGGCACCCGCAACCAGCGTCAAATAGTTTAAAATACAATAGATGCACGCATGCACGCAGTCACCCAGACATATGGATTTCTGCTTGTTTGTACTTTCAGGCAACTGAATCACGACTCACTGCCGACTGGTTCTAATTCTGGCAGATTTAGACCAAGACTCTCCTGTAACTGCCGTGCCAATGCCAGTCAATGTCTGCGATTTGAAGGAATACAAGCACCTTCCTGTCCAACCATCATCTGCACTTCCATGACCAAGTGAGATGAACCACTGACTCTGTTCCACTGGCAACTTAAAATTCTCAAGCGATCGTCACCAAGTACATGTCTCAAAAGCGGTACATATACTAACTGAAAAGCACCCTGCCCATATTTAACTGCCTTTATCCCAGTTGACTCTGCCTTAATCATCCGAGGAAACCCAAGAGACAAGATTTACATCCTTGTTAACATAACCAAAATGCTTGGCGGGCAAGGGACCCCATTGCTCTCCTAAAGAATGTTCTCAATTTAAGCAGAATTACAATATGCTCTAATTGAAACAACACATTTCCTATGCCTGATGTAATCTAACCTCCCAAGAAAACAATTAACTTCAGAGAAGTTAAGAGGGGAAAATAAAGCATTTTCGGTTTAGCAACATAATGAGTCACAGGCGATGTCCAGTCTTGGTATGAAGTCACATGGCGGGAAGCTTGATGACTCGAGTGAGCGAGCGACCTCAGAGCACGCCCACCTCTGCTATGGCACCCAAGCCGGCCGGCCTCCCACTCTGACGGTGCCCAACACCCACAGCAGAGGGGGGTCCACCACGCGAGCTCGTATTCCTACAACACCACCATCTGTCCTGCTTGCCACGGGCATTCATACCTGACACTTTCAAATCACAACTCGTTTTGCGGAAACAAATCCGACACTGACAACATTTCAGAACAAACGCCCTCTGTCTTCGGCCGCTTCTTCCCTGCACTACTCAAACTGAACCTCTCTGCACGGAGTCTGTACTCCCACGTCTAATTCTACAACCGCACTGCAATCTCTTAAACTGGGTACAGTTTTTTAGTTGTCCTTCCAACTGATTGGAAGAGCTGGAAAACTACCGTGAGTTGGCCCAGGCTTCAATCACATAAATCAATCAGAACCAGAGCACGTACCTGTTGCTACCTGAACCCTGAGCGTCCAAATATTCCCAACAAAGACTCGGCAACGGTTTTATCCAATACTCACCATTCAAATTTAAAAACCGTTGGAACAAATTCAGAGCCAATGTTTGTGTTGTGTGTGATTTCTGAGGTGGGGGCGAGCCACGATCACATCTGGGCCCGGCCACAGGTACCGCCCGTCAGCCCCCCTCAAGTCCCAGGTTCCCTTCTGCTAGCATCTGGGGACACTACTCACTGGGGTCAAAGTCAGACGGCATCTTTACACTTATTTAAAACCTGTACATAGTCCTAGCCATATAAAGAGAAAGCAGAATTCACCCTCAACGCTTCGGTCTATTACTGTGAAGGGCACAAAACACCAGCGTTAAGTTCACGAAGCACCACGTACTCAGGACACTGGTGCCCGAAAGCTGTGAACCGAGCGTAAGTCCTCTGTGGACGTAACACAGATCTGAGAGTGTTTTATCTGGGAAGGTGGGAGTCTGGGATGGGCTGGAAGGCGCCTTCAGTGTTCCCACTTGGGATCTCAGACCAGAAAGCACCACGCACTGGAGTCTTCCGTCCAGGACAAGCTCAGGAAGAGCTGGGATCTGAACCGTGAGCGTGTCTCGCTAGGGCCAAACTCTGACTCGCAGCCGCAGGGGGCTTATCGTGGGGCTCTGACGACAGGTGACAGGACAGAGGGCACACACCACAGCTTCTACCAGACTCTACAATGCACAGACGACGTCCCCGCACAGAGCCGGGTCTGCCTGTCCTGCAGGCGAGGTGGTGTGAGGGCACGGCCGGACAGAGCAACCCCAGGCAGGCTCTGGGTGTCCTCACCACCCCTCCTCCAACAGGAACTTGGCCTGTTTCCCGCCCCCCCCCGCCCCCCGTACTCGAGAAAGCTCTCCCAGCAGACGACAGGTAATCAAGCACCTCCTTGAGCTCCCCTATCGAGCTTAGGGTCCCTGGAATCCAAGGTTGAACACCGACCTGTTGTACTTCATGGGGACTGTTTATGGCAGGCCCCACTTGTGAGGCTCGCATTCAAACCTGAAAAGTTTCAAGTCCACATCTACGAGGCACCTTGGGACGTCTGCCTCAAAGTCAGAAAGCCAAACAACACTCTTGGCCACAGGCCCCTCTGCTTCCCGGAAGGTCTGCTCACGGGAAGGGCAGCGGTGTGGAAAGGGAACGTCCCTTCTCCTCAAGATCAGCGTCGTCCTCCTGAGTCCCGAGCCCGCACGGCCTCGCCCTGCCCCAGACAAGAGCCGGCATCACGAGGAGCGGGACAAAACAGGCTGACACATCTCTGGAGGTAATAAGGCTCCTGGACGATGAAATGCAGACAGCCATGCGATATAAGTCTGGAATTTACTGCCTGTGCCAGGACAAGTTACGGCGAAAGGACAGACACCGAGGCACAATCTTCTTAGAATTTAAGAGTGACTCCTAAAACATTTTCGACCGCATCATTCTTAACTAATGCACAAAACCGGGCCAAACTCGAATCCTGTGTTACTCATCTGAAAGTATTTTTTTAAACGGTCTCACCAAGGTTAAAACGTCTACACAACGTTACAAGCCCCTCCCATGCATGGAGGGGCAAGGCCGACAAAGCGGGAGTTCGGCCCGAGCCGGACACCACGCCGCGGCCACTGTGACCGGCCTACGTGCTCCAGGGCCGTCTCGTTAACGCCTGCCGGGCTCAGCTTCCTGGGGCAGGGACAGAAGCAAGGCTCGCTGACGCTCGTAAAAAAGGCTGCCTTGACCAAGAGGTTCACTCTACAAGGGACTCTGCTGCTAAAGACGGGCCTGGGGTTTTCTCAGCCACTTCCTCCCCAGCTCCTGTGTCGGCAGCACCGTGGTCCCCACCTGGGATTTTCGGTCACACAAACACAGTGCCTCGTGCCACCTCACCTTCTACTTGCCGAGGGTTCCCTAAGAGGACCAAACCCCGTGCGGCATTTCCGTAACAGACAACTTTTATTCGTTTTGAACAGCCAAATTTCTCTTTTTTTTTTTTTTTTAGATTTTTTTTTTTCAACGTTTATTTATTTTTGGGACAGAGAGAGACAGAGCATGAACGGGGGAGGGGCAGAGAGAGAGGGAGACGCAGAATCGGAAACAGGCTCCAGGCTCCGAGCCATCAGCCCAGAGCCCGACGCGGGGCTCGAACTCACGGACCGCGAGATCGTGACCTGGCTGAAGTCGGACGCTCAACCGACTGCGCCACCCAGGCGCCCCTGAACAGCTAAATTTCTAAGTTAAGTTGCTTTTCACTGATCAGGTTCAGCTACTCTTTCTTTAAAAGGCTCATTCATGGCATTAATATTAACAAGAAACGGAGTATCTCCTAATTAACTAATGCTTAAGTACACAGCTTTGCGAATAATGTCTCTCTCTCTCTCTCTCTCTCTCTCATACACACACGACAAAACTGACAAAACGACAGGCTGTTCTCTGCCAGAACTGCCCTCCTCTCCTAGACGGCACCACAGGGCCGACCCGGGGTGGGGGGTGCCCCCAACCACCAATTCTCCGACCAAGAGCAAGTAGGAGATTCAGGCACATTACGTCCAGAAGGAGCTGCGGGACAGAGGCCCCCTGTCGCTGGCAGAGGCCGGCCTGACCCCCACAGCCGCTCCCAGCCGGGCCTTCCGGCACAGACCAGCTGCGACTGCCCCTCCAGGACAGGGCCGCCCCTCTCCCAGACCCCGCCCTGCTTCCTCGGCGGGAGGAGCTCTTCCACGCCCCTCCCCGGGAGCCCCCAGTCGCGGTGAGGACACACCACCCGCGCGTGAGCAGCAAAAGGCCTGGAGACCCAGCGACAGGGGCAGCCAGGTGACACGGCACTGGAGGTGGAGGCTCCGGGACGACGAAAGGCAACTCCCAACTCCTTCGGGAAGATTTCATTTTAACGCTCAAGTACCAAGAGTATCCCAATTTTCCTGAAGTAGATGAGGTGGCTTCAGAAGTATGCTGAAAAAGAGTTTGGAGTTCAAGTGTTCACAATCGTTTTTCTTAAACTTAACTGAGACTCTGAAAAAAAAAAGCATAAGCTTTCTATGCACTGCTTTATCTAATTATCTTTTATCAACACATGAAAAGAAAGGTGTGTTAATGTTCACGACGTAAACGCTATGTAATTGTAAATGTTTTAAAAATTACTTAATGACAACATCTTAGAACTTTAGATCTTAGAACTTAGAACTCAGAACATCTTAGCTCTTAAAGTGACATCAGTGGTCATCGATTCTGGTCCTGTTCAAGCTGCGGTCACAAAGTCGAGTTAATCACAACCAATCTTCAAAACCATCACAACCAATCTTCAAAAAAGATTAAAAAAAAAAACAACAGAAAGAACAGGACAGAATAAAAAGCATGAAAGCAATCAGCATGCAGTGAAGCCACTATCATTCTGCGAGCCCACTCCGACCGTGCGTACGCACGAGGGAGAGGGCGAGAGAGCCGCGGTGCAGAACCACGTTCTCACCGTGGACACGGGCGCGTGGCCCACGGGCCGGCATCTACTCCACCACGTGCCTTGGCTGTCCACCCGCCGCAGTGAGCGAGGAAGGACGGGCCCGACGAGCGGGAAGGACCCGGAGCAGAGGCCCAGCGCGGGTGGGCACGACCGCCGCACCAAGAGCACCTCCCTGAGGCAACCCGGGTCCGCCTGCATACGCACGTCGCTCCGTGAAAAAGCTCCCAGCACCTGAGGAAGGCCATCGTTTCTCTTTTAAAATGCATCCCAATCGTCTCCTCCACCCCACCGCAGACGGCAACCCTAGGGCTCTTAATCCTTGAGAACTGTTTTCCCTTTTCAGAATCTTCTGAAAATCCACACGGAATTAAAACTCCTCCCGTCATACCAACCGCTAACTCAGGAAACTGAAATCCCTTAAGCACGAGATCACTTCACGTGCCTCACACTTTTATCCGTGCTTCATCCACACATCCAGCTGGCATCCTGTGAATCGCTACGGGGCAGGACTGGCTCCGGCCTCCTCCTGAGAATTCCACATTTCTCTGCTCCTGATCTGGTCTGCTACACAAGGCCCACCCTCTCAAACAAATCCCACGGTTCCAAGTACCACGCGGGCACTCCCGGCGCTTCACCGTTCCAAGTTCACGGCTCTCCGTTCCCACAGCAGGAGAGGTTAGCCCCAAAGTGCTCACTGAGCCGGGAACAGTACAAGAAGTCACCTGCACCCCCACGGGCCCCGTGCTCAGACTGGGGACGACACACATCGGCACAGCAGGCACCAGCCCAACCAAGTGCCTCTCTGAACACCAGGGAACACTGGAAACAGGGCCACAAGCGCTGAGGCTCCTCCGTCGCACTCCCAGAAGGCGCCCTCACCCAGAGCCCGTGACCAGAATTAACGACTGCATTTTAATTTCAACCTCAACAAACCTGGCCATCTAGCTTCCCCCCAAAATAGATCAGGAAGGATTAGGAAGCGGTCATTGCACGTAGCCAGGAACGGCCGGGAAGAGAATAGGAAACGTGAACATGCCACCTGGCCTAGGGCCGCCTGGAACCTGCTCTCGGCCGTGACTGTCCCCCGGAATGCGGCTTCCAACTACACCTGTGGTTCTCCGCCGGGCTGCAAGTCAGCTGTCCTTCCTCTGACCCTTCTCTCCCACACTTGGGGGACGACACAAGCGCCCTAAGCCCGTGTCTCTAAAGCGCCAGGCGCACTCTCACGTGACCCCGTAGCCACATGAGGGCTGAAGCCCAGGGGGCCCCACACAGGACAGGACTGGGATCTCGCCCCGTGTAGCCCGAAGAGCACAGACGGCACTGTCTGTGGCGGCACGGGCAGACCCACAAGCCCGGGGCCGTGCGAACGCAGGGCAACCGACCCGACAGGCCACGACAAAGGTGCCAGCCCTCGCTCTGGACGTGGCCTCACGGGCCCACCGGCGGCAGCAAAGCACAGCACACGTGTCCCTCCATCCCATCCACAAAACCAAGGACAACCACGGCCCCACAGGAGCAGGATGGGGAGGGGCTCGGCGGTCCCGGTCGGGAAGCAAGTGGAACGAGAGGGCCGGGCGGCGTGGGCGCTGGCCCCTGACTCTCGGCTGCTCTGGAAGGATCTGGGGCGTTGCTGCATAATGATTCCCAGTGACAGACAGAACTACCGAGTAAGAACCGAACATGAAGCTAATGAGACCGGCGGTGGGTCTGTGAACTCCAAAACAACAAGAACACGTGACTTTCTTCGGGGGGCTTCTGGAATTTAGGGAGGCTCTTCTCTTTGCAGAGCAGAGATGGCCTTTCAACACCTCTGCTGCCTACAACCGCAACCGGTCGATCTTCGATAAACCAAACGCCAACGCCAACGCCCACGCCAGGCCGGGAAAAGGCTCCATCGCGAGGAAACTGGGGAGGCCACGTCTGGAGGGGAAGGAGCCACCACGCCTCGGCACTGTCCTCCTGCGGGCGGGGGAGGCCGGTGCACAAAGAGACAGAGCCGACGGGCCGTGGGGGCGAGGGCGGGAGAGTGAACCACGGACGCTCCCACCTGCGACACGGCCACACTTCTAGGTCACCCTGTCAGCGACCTCGAGGTGAGTGGAGGCTTCTTCTGTGTCTTGTGAAACATCATTCTCTGTTCAAGTTTTTGGGGAAGTTAAAAAACGAAGTGGTCACAAGCAGGGTAACTCAGTACGAACAAGAACCGGCCAAATGATAAAATAACAAAAAGGAATTTCCACAAACAGAAAACAAGAAAAGAGCAGCTGGCGGATTTGCCAGAAAAAGGCAGCTTTACACGAACACACACGGCTCGCCTCACCCCTCACGTGAACACACGCTGCTTACTTCAATCAGAGAGCAGAGTCTCCTTCAGAAAAGAACAAAGGTGACGGACCCTGAAACACCTCCAGCCGCCACCAGTGTTGCCCCTGCCTGCCCCCGAGGTGTGTGTGTCATCGGAAGCCCACGAACACGACGGACAGTGAGAATCAGGCCGAGGTGGGAAGGCAGCATGGGATTCCACAGGCAAACAGAATCGGATGGTTCACAGACCGTTATGTGTGACACAGACGGCGATCAGGATGGCAGCTGTGGGGACTTGGCAGGGCGCTGGCGAAGAAGCAGGGAGCTAAGAAGCAGGGAGGGCGCCCGACAGTCGAACGCAGGGGAAAGGACGGCTGCTCACGGAGGACAGGCCCGGGCGCGACGGCCGACTCCGGTGAGACAGCACTTGGTAACTGTGCACACAAGTCTCCGGTCTGCGGACTCTTCCGAGAGGGGCTCTTCTGACGGCCACCACAGGAGCCCTTCCTGAGCTGAAAGCAGCACCTGCCGTCTCGTCCACAGAGGCTGGGCTCTCCGCTCTCACGGGGTGTTGGGGACGTGCGCTCTACAATCATACACACCGGCACGGTACTCACGTGCTACAAAAGCCTGATTATTTCTCAAAACTCCCGAGTGGAATCCTGCTCAGGAATAGAGACGGGAACGAGGAGGATATCAAATGTAACATACTTTCCTTTCTCACGGATTATAAAGTTCAGCAACATTTTCATTAGGATGAAATTTCACTCCCAGTATAAACACAAACCACGAAGTTGTCAAAACCAGAGATAAACTACACATGACGACCCGTCCTCTCCCACCCAGACAGGACATCTCGTGCCCAACCGAGAGAAACATGCGGCACAAACCTGCTGAGAACTGACCTGTACGGGCCTGACCAGCAACCCGATCTCCGAGACAGGGCTCAGAGGCAACCACTGGGGACCGTTCGGTAACCCTGCAATGCTTCGGCTTAAGACTCTGATGAAAACCTCACGCGCAGGTTTCAAGACGAAACCGAAAACCGAGGCACTCCGATCTAAACAAGTGACTGAACTTAAGGTCTGCGCACTTCTCCCCAGGCGTTCGGAGGGTTTCAGATGAAACCCGGGGGGTGCCGCTGTCCTCCCGCTTCTGATTCCAGGGACACACGTCCTCATGCCCCATGCACGGCAGACACCGGGCCATCGTCACTGACAACGGGAACGCACACAGGTGTTTCAGAAGGGGAGAACACGGCTGGTTTCGAGAACAGCACGTACCATCTCGACACGAATCGAGCTCGAGGTCTGTGGCTCGTAAGTCACGTTTCAAAGGAAAGGAAGATTCTTCAGACTCTCTCCCGTAATTATTCAAAGGTTATAAAGGTCTCTTTAATACAAATTCTTCAAAAGGACGTGAAAATATCCATCCCCAATCCACCAGGAATTTAGACTCGATCTAGAAAGCAAATCACGCCCTCAAACCCTCACAGCAGGAGCACTCTCCTTTGTAAAGACAGTTTGTATCAGGTGCTCAGTGACTGTGCAGTTACGCTTTCGTCAGAGATACTTGGGAAGGTGGTGACCGGCGTTTGGCAGTAACACACAAGAACAAAACCGAGTTCGTTCTAACACACAGCGACTGCACGAACCCAGCATCCACAACACTCGTGGAACTTAACAATGATAAAGAGCCGGTGCGGTTCCATCTACAAACAGCTACATAAACTCCCACAAAGAACCAAATGCAGCCCAGAGGCCCACTGCCACGGGTCCACGTCGTTCAGGATGTCTGCGGCCAGCAAGGGTAAAGCCGGCACTTCCCCAAAGTTAACGCTGCACCACCCTCTCACTCCCGGGCCGGCCCCGCGGCACGCGAGGTCTGGTGACCCGCTCGGCAAGCGGGTGGTAAGTGACAGCAGATGCACACTCACCTGCCCGTCCTGTCCCACGTGGTGGATCTGGAGATTGCCCTGCAGAATGGGTGGAAAAAGGAGAAGTCAAGGACCGGAACAACTTCCAGACACGAGGAGACAGGGGCAGGAGCGCCCCGTGCCACATGTGAATAGCCAGCAAAACCACTAACAGCAGTTCTACAAAAGTTCAGCCCCTTGTAGCGATAAAAACTCCACAACAAAATATCTTAAAACTGAGTTTACACTTTTTCCTCTTTTAAGAAGAAAAACTGTGAAAGACGTCGTGCTCACCTCCCCCCATCCTGACCCCAAATGAAAATGTCGTTTTTTCCCCGAACATTTCATTTTGAAACAACTCTGATGACAAGAACCAACAGCAGCACAGAGAGGTCCCGCGTTCTCCTCATCCAGCGTCCCTGACGGGGACACAGGAAGACACAGGGCAAAACACAACCAACCAGACGCAGGCCCACTGGCGTCTCACCAGATGGAAATGCACTGTCATGTCTTTGGGGAAAAAATGATTGGTTTAGGTCTGGTAGGCTCTTCTGTCACTGTCCTCACGGATACCTTCATTGTGACAAAATACTTAATTGTTAAAGGAACAATCTAAGGCTTTACTGTGATAAAACTAATCACATACTCTAACTTATTACGAGGTAACCATTAGTGGCAGCAGCAATTTCTTCTAATTCCTGGCACTCAATTCCTAACAGAAACAGAAAATGCGGGATCGCATGAACAACAGGGAGGCGTTTATGAAATCCAAAAGGGCAAAGTTGATCAAAAAACTGAAATCCGAGCAGCAGTCTAATGATTTTTTTTTAACAGCAAGACTATTAAAACACAAATCTGTATAGATTTTCCTTCTGGAGGCTACGAGCAAATTAAGCGCCCTGCGCAGTGGAGGATCCTGCCAGACGTCTCGGGCCGCTGGCTGGGCCTGGGCACCTCTGACACGGAGCCTCCCCACCCCCCCAAGAGGACACCCCGCCCGCGGCCTTCCGCAACCCGGGTCCGCTCTCCTTTCCTCTCCCACCCAGTACGGGCTTCCTCCTTTGCTTACCTGCCCGCCCACCAGTCAGCAAACGGACCGTGCTCCTGCGTGAGGCCCGCTTCTCACGGGACCAAGCAAGCACCCCTTCGGCGGCACATCCCTATTTGCCCCTCAGAATCTCTGCGCCTCTTCCCTTGGCACACGGCCCGCTCACAAGGCTCGGACGTGTGTGGCCCGTGGCCTCCGGGTGAAAGCACCTCCCTCCTAACACATCCTGAGACCCTCTCCCCACGGTCCCTCCCCTCCAGCACAATCGCCTCCTAAGGAAGCAGGAGTCAGGTGGCCACGGCTGGACGTGCGTGTCATCCGGGGACCCCCCCCCCGCCCATCTCCCGCCACGGAAAGAGCCCGTGGGCCCTGGGTGGGCCCTGGGCAGCTCTGAAGGCCGCCACTCACCTCGCTGTCTTGCGTGATCTGCACCTGCTCGCCCTGTGGCACCTGTGCGATATGGAGGTGGCCCTGTGGGATCCGCAACAAGAGAACACACCAAGGAGCATCAGAAGAAAATCAAAGCCACAGGAAACGAGAAGCGCTTTCTGGAACTTTTGTTTTCGGTTACCTGCTGGCAATCCAGGACAACTAAATCCTGAATAGTACAATATACGCATAGTATAAGCTTATTAAATAGCCTCCTGGAATTAAACTGTCAGAATGTGACACGTACAGAACATTTTATGGCTAACTCTTAATGGGGCCTGGAAAAATCTGTCAAGTCTTTAACTGCTACCCAACAGGCAAATTTAAGAATGTGAGGGTCATTTGGAAAAGAAGGGAAACAGAAGTTTCCCACAAAATTAGACTAACTTTTTTTTTTTTAATGTTTATTTGTTTTTGAGAGAGACAGAGCATAATCAGGGGAGGGGCACAGACAGGGGGAGACACAGAATCCAAAGCAGCTCCGGTCTCTGAGCTGTCGGCGTAGAGCCTGATGTGGGCCTCAAACCCACAAACCGCAGGATCGGAGCCAAAGTCGGACGCTTAACTGACTGAGCCACTTAGGTTTGTAGACACAGGCAGATAAACGATTCCCATAAATGCCAACATGGCTCAACACCACTGCAGGATTTTCTCTTGCTTTCATTTTACTGCGTGTAAACTGTTCTGAAGTTATTCTGGAGTTCTTTCAAGAACCTTCTTACTACAAAGGTAAGAATTAACTGCCTTTGTGATTGTCACCTAAACAAAGAATTCACTATTTCTATTCAGCATCTACAACTGCTATCTATCTCATCTGCAAAATGAAGAACCCCCCCCCCCGCCCCCCTCCCGCAAAAACGCTCATTAACACTTTCCGGAAGCCGGCCCTTTTCCAGGCAGCATGCTGAGTGCAACGTCACACTGAGGCCACCCTGAGCTTTCCAGGAAAAAGCCTGGTCACGCAGCTGGGTGTGACTGGACGGCCAACGGGACCCCGGGGGCATGAAAACGGCCCGCTCCCTGGTGACGCTCCCGCCCCCTGGTGACGCTCCCGCCCTCCTGCTCTCCCCAGCCGTAGGGGCCAGCATGAGTCTGGAGGAATTTCTACCTGGGCCAGACCACACAAGGAGGGCTGAGGCAGGGGTGTGGCTCACTGCTAAGCCAACTGCCCGCACGAGTCTAAGATACAGCCAGGCATCCAAAGGAAGTGCTATGCGATCCCCGAGGCCACTCACAAGCTCTTTCCACTGACCCCAGGAGGAAATTTTCTTCCCCCAGGAAAAGGGTGCCCCTGTTTCCGAACTGAGAAGACTATCTATGATGCATTGACAGCGCCTCCCAGGATGACACGTAAGGGCAGGGATGGTCGAATGGCCCGACCCCCAGAGCTGACGGCGGCCACGGGGGCAGCACGTGCAGGGGAGCCACGAGGGGACACCGACAAGGACACACCCCCTCAGGAACCACCCTCATTTAGGAGATGCAGAGCCGACACCCCGAACCACTTCTTTAGACTGGCGCTCTGACCTCACCCCAAGCCACCATGGCACGACCCGGAAACGCAGGGGAAGCCGGGGCCCGCCCTCCCCACCGGCCACGCCCCCACCCTGCCTGCCCTGGCCCCGGTGGAGGCAGACTAGCGAGAAGGGCACATACTACTTGGACCTGTCCGTCCTCTCCGATCTGGTGGATCTGGACCTGCTGGGCGTTGGCCAGGGCGTAGTGCAGGGCCTGTGGCGGAGGCTGCGGCATCTCGCTGGCGGGGGGCGGCGTGCTCATCACGGTCTCTGCAGGGAAGTACAGAGGGCCTCAGCAACCAGCGGGGGACAGGCCAGCCATGGGCACACCTCTGGGCTTCCCTCCCTCCCCAGCACCACCTTCCCCCAAAGAGGAAAGGAAACCCCTCCTTCCCGGACAGCAGTCGGCAGGTCCCAGTGAAGGGGCTATGGCATCCTGTAGAGTCATGAGTTGTCAGTGCTGGGGATCGAGGTTTCTGACCGGGGGACAGGAGTCCGGGGAAGGACTATTCTGACAGAGGAGTCTCATCTGCTTGTTTAAACGAGTTGCTCAGGATTCGTCAGCAGAAGTGAAACAGAAGCACAAAGGTGGGGTTACACCCTGCTTCTCACCAGTACGTTATCGGTATTTGTTCACGGACAATTAAGCCCTCTATGGAAAAAACTCTCCATCCTCTTGTTTAAAGATGCATTTCCAATAAACCTTCACTTCCTTTGTTTAATCCCAAACGAGACCTTTGTGTTGACATGTTGCGTATTAATTTTAGTTGTAATGATACCTTAACAGAATATTCTTAAACGCTCAAAAAATTAAAGGCTCAGAAAAAACGTTTTGATTTTGTGCATACAATTTTTCCGCAGAGAATTACGGTGCACGGACATTAAGAAAACGTAAACACAACAGGATGAGACTCAGCGAGATGTGGACTGTTAACACAAAGGAGAAAAAAGACGAAAAATGAGTCTATTTTTCTTCTATTCCATGGGCATTAAATTGACACAGTATATACATTCCACCTCATAACATTTTAATATTTTTTTAATGTTTATTTTTGAGAGAGAGAGAACGAGAGAATGAGCAGGGGAGGGGCAGAGAGAGAGGGAGACACAGAATCCGAGGCAGGCTCCAGGCTCTGAGCTGTCAGCACAGAGCCCCATGCAAGCCTCAACCCCATGAACTAAACCATGAGATAATGACCTGAAACGAAGTCGGACACTCA